AGGACTGCAAAAACAGCAGATATGGCACAAAACAGGCTCTTAGTCTAAAAGTTAATTACCTGCAAGAAGTCACTAGCTAATCTCTATCTAAACTATTTTCTATTAGGTACATTTGTGGCTATACTATTTGTGGGGCTTTTCTCACCTCACAGAGGGGCCTATGCTTAATAGTTTCTTTTGTTAGCATACTGTGCTTAGGATGTTTAGAACAATCATGAGCATTTTTTGCAATCAGAGCACACATTTATCAAACAGGCCAGAATACCAGCAAAAGGGTTTGAATTGAAGCATTTCCTTCATCCCTGGCCCTTTCATAGGGTACCAGCGTCTAGGACATTTATTAACTAGGCTTTTAAGTTGGTCCTCATTCAATGAAAGAAGAGCAGGAGAACTCTTGGCAGGCAACACAAGAATCTGCAACAGGGCAAACAAGAACAACAGCAGAAAAGGGGGGAGGATACAGGGTTGGGTAGAGGCCGAGGCCAACCTGGATGGTCCCTTATCCTAGACGGTCTTGCCTGTCAGGTATTTTCCTCATAACCTCCTCATGGATGGGGTCCCAGATGGCCTTGCCTGCCGGGTATTTTCTTTATGACCTCGTCATGGGTGGGACCTCCCATAATGGCTCCCGGCAACTATCTGTTGATGCTGTTCAGTCACTAAGTCATGTTCAACTCTTTGTGACCCCATGAACTGCAGCGCACCAGGCTTCTCTGTCCTTCACTGTCTCTCTAAGTTTGCTCAAACTCATGCCTGAGTCTGTGATGCCATCCAACCATCTCATCCTCTGTCATCCCCTTTTCCTCTTGCCCTCAATCTTTTCCAGCATCAGGATCTTTTCCAGTGAGTCAGCTCTTTGCATCAGGTGGCCAAAGAACTGGAGTTTCAGTTTCAGCACAGTCTTTCCAATGAATATTCAGGGTTGATTTCCTTTAGGATTAACTGGTTTGATCTTTTTGGTGTCCAAGGGACTCTCAAGAGTCTTCTCCAGCACCACAGTTCAAAATTGTCAATTAGGCACTCAGTCTTCTGAGCCACCAACAAAGCTCATACAATAGCTATATTACTACACCATCCATAATGAAAACTCTTTCTTCAATGTTTGCCATTATACCATTAGCTCCAGATGTGAAGTACCTTCCTATACTAGTTATCATAAGGTAAGTTTTCATAAACTCAACAAATCCATTGAATATTCATTATGTCTCATGTATGCATTGCAGACAGATTCTTTACTGTCTGTTTTCATTGTTCAGTTGCTAAGTTGTGTTAGACTCTGTGACCCCATGGACTGTAGCTTACTGGACTCCTCTGTACATGGCCTTTTCAGGCAAGGATACTGGAATGGGGAGTGCCATTTCCTTCTCCAGTGGATCTTCCTAACCCAGGGATAAATTTGCATCTCCTGCATGTCAGGTGGATTTTTTACCACTGAACAATCTGGGAAGCCCATTTGTGTATATAAAACATGTATTAGGCTAAGTATACCAGGGTGTATATATGTGTGTGTGTGTGTGTGTGTGTGTGTGTGTGTATACACACACATATATATACATGATGTGCATGTATATATATATGTATGTGTGTATATATATATATATATATATATATATATATATATATATATATATATATATATCATGATGCCCAGGAACTTATAGTCCAGTCCAGGGAATGACAAACTTGCTTGAATGAACAGGTGATAAATATTTTAGGCTCTGTATGCCACGTGTGAACTTTGTTGCATTTTTTTGGTTTTATGATATGTTGTTGTTTATTTTTTGCAACCTTTAAAAATGCAAAATGTATTCTTAGCTTGAAATTCATACCAAAAATGTGTGAGAAGGGTTTGGCTTTGTTTTTTCTAGTTTGCTGACCCTTGGTCTAGTTAACAAAGCTAAAGGAAGGTGAGATTGGACAAAACACACAGAAATTTAGAGACAAACAATGATTGACCAAATGCTTCTCACTACTTAAAACAAACACAGGTTTGGTGGTGGTGGTGTTTAGTCTCTCAGTTGTGCCCAACTCTTTTGTGATCCCATGGACTGTAGCCCACCAGACTCCTTTTTCCATAGGTTTGCTCAGGCAAGGATACTGGAGTGGGTTGCCATTTCCTTCTTAACCCAGGGATCAAATCAGTGTCTTTTGCATTGGAAGGTGGATTTTTTACCACTGATCTACCAGGGAAGTCCTTTTTTGCTTATATTTTGTGCTTTTTAGGCTAGTCATAATGTAGGTCAAAGCCTTATATATTAATAAAATGTCACACTACTGATAATAATATCTTAATTTTGGCTTTTTTTTTTTTTTTTTTTTTTTTTACTATTCCAGTACTATCATGCTTTGTGGAATTACATAGCATTTTAATATTTCAAGGAAGAAAATATATAACTTCTACTCTCATTTTGTTTCAGTGTTAATGATACTGAAAATCTGAATAATACATTGTCATTATATTAGTTTGAAAAGCACCATAGAATTTTATTGCTGAATCAATTTAGCTTTATCTTTCATGATCCTTAATGGGCATTAAATAGGTGGGAAAAAATGTAAGATAAGCTTTGGATTTTGTTTCTTGCACTTGGGTTTTGAAAAGTACTCTCACACCACATTACGTGTGTAATTTGGTTAAAGTTTGAACCATTGTTTTCTGTCATAGAACAAAATCATTTATCTTTGGACAAATATGTATTTTATGATCCACCTACTCAGTTCATGATTACTTCTACTAAAAATATTGTAGCAATGTTATGGTGTATATATGTCTTTACTCAGATTATCCTGTAAAGACATGAAGGGGTTATCAAGAAACAAAGCCAGATATTGACAGAAAATCAAAGTGAACACAGAGTACTCAGATGCTAATATATCAATAGTTCAGAAATGTATTCAACAACATGTTTTTCTTTCCCTGAATATGATCTGTTAATGTAATATAGTCTTTTAAGTAATACAATACCTCACATTAGTAGACTGATATAGTTAGTCTCAGGATCTGATATTTCATGGTTCTTTTTAGAGCAAATATAGACTTCTTAGTAACTTCTTTTTAAAATTCCATTGAGCAACATATATTCCTTATTCATTTTAGACATACCTATGCTGAGTTAGCTGAGCAGAACTGGAACTAGGTTTTCAGCTCCATTTTTCTAGGTCTCATGGGCCACAAGGCACATTGTGTATGGCATCTGGAAGACAAAAGGGAAGTAGCAGCCAGGTTGTTTTCAGGCTCAGAGGGCAGTGAATGAGCAGGTGGTGTTGTAGTTCATGAATATCATTGCCGATTTGCTGCTGACTGACCCTGTTAGCTTGGGACACAGCCAGGCCCAACCATAACTCCTTCAGGTTCCACCACACCTTCACTTTCTGCAACTCCTGGGCACTGGTTTCTCTACCGAGTCACCTGATCATCAAAACTGAGAACAGTGCAGACCTAGATGACTTCCATGGGCTCCAGGTTTCCCTTTTTGTCCTCCATGTCACACCCAACTTTCCTTTCTGAAAATCTGTCCTGCTCTCCAGACCCAAAGCCAAGAGCAAAAATAATAATGATAAACTGTTACTAGCACCTTGCAGTTATATAAATTCAATTCTTTTGTATAAATTCCATACCGCTGTCATTTCTACTAATTGTATTTTTGATGAAATCTTTCATGAAAAACTATCTTGACTTATTAATTGGTGTTATTCTCAATTATTATGCAGTAGTATTTACAGTTGCCTCATAATGTTGTAAAACATAATTTTGCTTTACTGTGTATTTCTTTAGCTTTACATGTTAACACTGAAGAGCAAATTCATATATAGTTCATAAGTCAATGTGCAAATGTTTCACAGCATAATCTTTTTAAAAAAAATGTAATACATTTTGCATTTCAAACTGTAAAAGGTGTAATGGAAAGCCTAAGGAGCAACTTTTATTTATTTTTTTAAATTTATTAAGTGTACAGTGAGAGGGTTAGAAAAGTATATTTTAGAAAGCAATGTGAGACTTTTCCTTGGCAAGATGGCGGAGTACAACTTGACCACTCGCATCGCGCACTTTTTAGATCGGCATTTAGTATTTCCGTTGCTTGAGTTTCTCTCTGTAAAAGAGACATATAATGAAAAGGAGTTGTTACAAGGGAAATTGGATCTTCTTAGCGATACCAACATGGTAGACTTTGCTATGGATGTGTACAAAAACCTTTATTCTGATGATATTCCTCATGCTTTGAGAGAAAAAAGAACAACTGTTGTTGTACAGCTGAAACAGCTTCCAGAAGAAACCGAATCAATTGTGAAGATGTTTGAAGATCCAGAAACTACAAGACAAATGCAGTCAACCAGGGATGGTCGGATGCTGTTTGACTACCTGGCAGATAAGCATGGTTTCAGGCAGGAATATTTAGATATACAGTACAGGTATGCAAAATTCCAGTATGAATGCGGAAATTACTCTGGAGCAGCATAATATCTTTACTTCTTTAGAGTGTTGGTTCCAGCAACGGATAGAAATGCTTTCAGTTCACTCTGGGGAAAACTGGCCTCTGAAATTTTAATGCAGAATTAGGATGCAGCCATGGAAGACCTGACACGGCTAAAAGAGACCATAGATAATGATTCTGTGAGTTCTCCACTTCAGTCTCTTCAGCAGCGGACATGGCTCATTCATTGGTCTCCGTTTTCTTCAATCACCCCCAAAGGGTGCGATAACATTATTGATCTCTTCCTTTACCAGCCACAGTATCTTAACGCAATTCAAACGATGTGTCCACATATTCTTCGCTGTTTGACCACAGCAGTCATAACAAGCAAAGATGTTCAAAAACACCGGCAGGTGCTAAAAGATCTGGTCAAAGTTATTCAGCAGGAGTCTTACACATATAAAGACCCAATTACAGAATTTGTTGAATGCTTATATCTTAATTTTGACTTTGATGTGGCTCAGAAAAAAGCTAAGGGAATGTGAATCGGTTCTAGTGAATGATTTCTTCTTGGTGGCTTGTCTTGAGGATTTCATTGAAAATGCCCATCTCTTCATATTTGAGACTTTTTGTTACATCGATCAGTGTATCAGCATTAACATGTTGGTAGAAAAACAGAACATGGCTCCAGAAGAAGCTGAAAGGTGGATTGTAAATTTGATTAGAAATGCAAGGCTGGATGCCAAGATTGATTCTAAATTAGGTCATGTGGTTATGGGTAACAATGCAGTCTCACCCTATCAGCAAATGATTAAAAAAACCAAAAGCCTTTCATTTAGAAGCCAGATATTGGCCATGAATATTGAGAAGAAACTTAATCAGAATAGTAGGTCAGAGGCTCCTAACTGGGCAGCTCAGGACTCTGGCTTCTATGGAAGAACTGTACAGGAAAATTGAAAAACCTTTAAAGGAAAGGTGAAATAATAAAACCGTTATATAAAGGTGAAACCTTTTAGAAACAACATATTTAGTATAAATTTTGGAGGATTTGAATAAAATTGACTGTTTCATTTAAAAATAAATAAATAAATAAATAAAAAGTAATGTGAGTATGGTGGATTCTGGGAATACACAGCCTGAACATAATTACCAATTATGAGTATTACAGTATGAGATACTGTATCTTCTTCTTTGGAATAACATGCCAAAGCAGTAAGCATGCTTGCTTAGCTTAGATAATACTCTGAATGTCTCTTTTATATTGGTAAACTCTAAGGATGAACCTTATATTTAGAGTATAAAAAGAGCTGGAAAACAACAAAAGGAAAGGTCCCCCCAATAAATAATGAAGTGAAATTTATAAATTTCGTGAAAATCTCAGGGGGGTCCATCTGTACAAGTGGACACACTTGAATGGGATAGGGAGTCAATCCTCAATCCTGTAATAATTGGGATCCAGAGGAACCCAGACACTAATAAATGGAATTATTCAGACAATGAGAAGTGAAGCAGATAGACTCTTATATCCAGAGAGGGCTGTTAACAAGGGGCTCTTCCTATATATCTCAGCACAGAGACAAATAGTTACCAGTCCCTGCAATGTTGCATTCCTCAACACTGAAAGAGTACCAAATAGATAGAGATAGGGACACTGATAATAAAAGTGACAATCATCAAGGAGTAGCTATTGAAGGATTTTCATAATACGTCCTGGAACTAAAAACCAGACTACAAATTGAAAAAGTATAATAATTTATGATAGTTAACAGGTGGCTAATGATGAAAAATAAGATCAAGTAAGTCAGTCAGTCAGTTCAGTCGCTCAGTCTTGTCTGACTCTTTGCAACCCAATGAATCACAGCATGCCAGGTCTCCCTGTCCATCACCAACTCCCGGCGTTTACTCAAACTCATGCCCATCTAGTTGGTGATGCCATCCAGCCATCTCATCCTCTGCCGTCCCCTCCTCCTCCAGCTTGCACTCCCTCCAAGCATCAGGGTTTTTTCCAATGAGTCAACTCGTCGCATGAGGTGGCCAAAGTACTGGAGTTTCAGCTTCAGCATGAGTCCTTCCAATGAACACCCAGGACTGATCTCCTTCAGGATGGACTGGTTGGATCTCCTTGCAGTCCAAGGGACTCTCAAGAGTCTTCAACACCACAGTCCAAAGCATCAATTTTTCAGTGCTCAGCTTTCTTCACAGTCCAATTCTCACATCCATGCATGACCACTGGAAAAACTATAGTCTTGACCAGATGGACCTTTGTTGGCAAAGTAAGGTCGCTGCTTTTTAATATGCTATCTAGGTTGGTCATAACTTTCACTCCAAGGAGTAAGCGTCTTTTAATTTCATGGCTGCAGTCACCATCTGCAGTGACTTTGGAGCGCCCAAAAGTCTGACACTATTTCCACTGTCTCCCCATCTATTTCCCATGTGGTGATGGGACCAGATGCCATGATCTTAATTTTCTGAATGTTAAGCTTTAACCCAACTTCTTCACTCTCCTCTTTCACTTTCATCAACAGGCTTTTTAGTTCCTCTTCACTCTCTGCCATAAGGGTGGTGTCTTTGCACATCTGAGGTTATTGCTATTTCTCCCGGCAATCTTGATTCCAGCTTGTGCTTCTTCCAGCCTAGAGTTTCTCATGATGTACTCTGCATATAAGTTAAATAAGCAGGGTGATGATATACAGCCTTGACACACTCCTTTTCCTATTTGGAACCAGTCTGTTGTTCCATGTCTAGTTCTAACTGTTGCTTCCTGACCTGCATACAGGTTTCTCAAGAGGCAGGTCAAGTGGTCTGGTCTCTTCCCATCTCTTTCAGAATTTTCCCATCTCTTTCAGAATTTTCCACAGTTTATTGTGATCCACACAGTCGAAGGCTTTGGCATAGTCAATAAAGCAGAAATAGATGTTTTTCTGGAACTCTCTTACTTTTTCAATGATCTAGCAGATATTGGCAATTTGATCTCTGGTTCCTCTGCCTTTTCTAAAACGAGCTTGAACATCTGGAAGTTCTCGTTCACATATTGCTGAAGCCTGGCTTGGAGAATTTTGAGCATTACTTTACTATCATGTGAGATGACTGCAATTGTGCAGTAGTTTGAGCATTCTTTGGGATTGCCTTTCTTAGGGATTGAATGAAAACTGACCTTTTCCAGTCCTGTGGCCACTGATGAATCTTCCAAATTTGTTGGCATATTGAATGCAGCAATTTCACAGCTTCATCTTTCAGGATTGGAAATAGCTCAATTGGAATTCCATCACATCCACTAGCTTTGTTTGTAGTGATGGTTTCTCAGACCCACTTGACTTCACATTACAGGATGTCTGGCTCTAGGTCAGTAATCACACCATTGTGATTATATGGTTTGGGGAGATCGTTTTTGTACAGTTCTTCTGTGTATTCTTGCCACCTCTTTGTAATATCTTCTGCTTCAGTTAAGTCCATACCATTTCTGTCCTTTATTGAACCCATCTTTGCTTGAAATGAGAAAGCAAAATGATAAAATACTGAAAGAGGAACTTCCCAGGTTGGTAGGTGCCTAATATGCTAATGGAGATCAATGGAGAAATAACTCTAGAAAGAATGAAGGGATGGAGCCAAGGCAAAAACAATACCCAGTTATGGATGTGACTGGTGATAGAAGCAAGATCCGATGCTGTAAAGAGCAATATTGCATAGGAACCTGGAATGTCAGGTCCATGAATCAAGGCAAATTGGAAGTGGTCAAACAGGAGATGGCAAGAGTGAATGTCGACATTCTAGGAATCAGAGAACTAAAATGGACTGGAATGGGTGAGTTTACCTCAGATGACCATTATATCTACTACTGTGGACAGAAATCCCTTAGAAGAAATGGAGTAGCCATCAAAGTCAACAAGAGTCTGAAATGCAGTATTGGATGCAATCTCAAAAACAACAGAATGATCTCTGTTCATTTCCAAGGCAAACCATTAATATCACAGTAATCCAAGCCTATGCCCCAACTAGTAATGGTAAAGAAGCTGAAGTTGAATGGTTCTATGAAGACCTACAAGATCTTTTAGAACTAACACCCAAAAAAGGTGTCCTTTTCATTATAGGTTACTGGAATGCAAAAGTAGGAAGTCAAGAAACACCTGGAATAACAGGCAAATTTGGCCTTCGAGTACAGAATGAAGCAGGGCAAAGTCTAATAGATTTTTGCCAAGAGAATGCACTGGTCATAGCAAATACCCTCTTCCAACAGCACAAGAGAAGAATCTACACATGGACATTACCAGATGGTCAATACCAAAATCAGACTGATTATTTTCTTTGCAGCCAAAGAGGGAGAAGCTCTATACAGACAGCAAAAACAAGACCAGGAGCTGACTGTGGCTCAGATCATGAACTCCTTATAGCCAAATTCAGACTTAAACTGAAGAGAGTAGGGATAACCACTAGAGCATTCAGGTATGACCTAAATCAAATCCCTTATCACTATACAGTGGAAGTCAGAAATAGATTTAAGAGACTAGATCTGATAGACAGAGAGCATGATGAACTATGGACCAAGGCTCGTGACATTGTACAGGAGACAGGGATAAAGACCATTCCCTTGGAAAAGAAATGCAAAAAGGCAAGATGGTTACCTGAGGAGGCCTTACAAATAGCTGTGAAAAGAAGAGAAGCAAAAAGCAAAGGAGAAAAGGAAAGATATTCCCATTTGAATGCAGAGTTCCAAAGAATAGCCAGAAGAGATAAGATAGCCTTCCTCAGGGATCAATGCAAAGATCAAATAAAGTATTTGGTAAAACCGAGCAGATATACAAAGAGGAATAATAATCTCAGACAAAGAAACATGAGATATTGAAGAACACCTAATCCAGTAACAGACAACAGGGGTTTTAGAGTCATCATACTGCCTGACTCTACCATTCACAGCTATGTCAACCTGGCTTATGTCTCATTACACAAAAACACCCCAGATGGTGACTGCAGCCATGAAATTAAAAGACGCTTGCTCATTGGAAGAAAAGCTATGACCAACCTAGACAGCATATTAAAAAGCAGAGATATTATTTTGCCAACAAATGTCTATCTAGGCAAAGCTATGGTTTTTCCATTAGTCATATATGGATGTGAAAGTTGGACTATAAAGAAAGCTGAACACCGAAGGATTGGTGCTTTTGAACTGTGGTATTGGAGAAGACTCCAAGAATCCCTTGGACAGCAAGCAGATCCAACCAGTCCATCCTAAAGGAAATGAGTACTGAATATTCATTACAAGGACTTATGCTGAAGCTGAAACTCCAATACTTTGGCCACCTGAAGTGAAGAACTAGCTCATTTGAAAAGACCCTAATGCTGGGAAAGATCTAAGGCAGGAGTAGAAGGGGATGACAGAGGATGAGATGGCCTCATCGAATCAATGGACATGAGTTTGAGTACGTTCTGGGAGTTGGCGATGAACAGGGAAGGCTGGTGTGCTGCTGTCCATGGGGTCACAAAGAGTCAGACAGGACTGAGTGACTGAACCAAACTTAACTTCATCTCTAAAGTCAGAAGAATCACATCAATAGTACCTATCTGGCGAGCTGTTCCCCTAGAGTATACATGTCATAGGATTGATTATATAGGCTATTGACTGGGAAATATTTAAAATAGTTCTTGCTGTTGTTCAGCCACTCAGTCATGTTTCTGACAATTTCTGACCCCATGGACTGAAGCACACTGCACTTCCCTGTCCTTCACCATCTCCTGTAGCTTGCTCAAATGCCATTGAGTCCACTGAGTCAGTGATACCATCCAAACATCTTGTCCTCTGTCTTCCCCTTCTCCACTTGCCTTCAATATTGCCCACTATCAGAGTCTTTTCCAATAGGTCAGCTATTTGCACCAGTTCAGTTCAGTTAAGTTGCTCAGTTGTGTCCAACTCTTTGAGACCCCATGTACAGCAGCATGCCAGACCTCCCTGTCCATCACCAACT